GCATGCTAGACAATGGAGGAGCTGTGGCTCATAACCAGCAACTTGTCTGCCACTATCATGCGGCCTACTCCCATACGTTGTATTTGGTAAGAGATATGAAAGGAAAGGGGGCTCCTGTCATGGCCTTTTTCAGACCACTGCACAGATGGACACTGACACTGGCCACATTATATCATGAGCCACTCTCACACAGAGCAGAGGGTAGATGTTCAGACATTCACATTTATGATGAAAGAAGAGTATGGGGAGTTTCTGTATGTGTCTCTGCACAGCAGGTGGTAGAGGCCTTTCCCTTGAGCTATGGTAGATATTTAAAAATAGCCTATTAAATAAACAACCTTTTCTATTTGCATATATGATCGTATCTGAATTCAGTGAACCTTCATTTTAGCACCTTAAGAGAAAACCTTTGATTTTCTTATGAAAAAGCACCACATAATATTCATTAATGTGGAATACAATTCCGGTGAGTACACCACCAATTCCAAGACTGTACTGTGTCTGATCATACTTTATCCATACACAACAAAGCATAATTAACTTACAACCTCATTGACATATTTGTGCCTCTAGCTTGCTTCAGGGACAATTTTCTTTTATTTTCAGTATTTAAATAGGTTGTCCTAATGCCTGCTCATGCTACTGTCTGAATCACTGAACTTTTATCCATTGTCTCTTAAGTTCAGAACTTCTTTTTCTGATTGGCAGGAACGACACATTTGTCCTTCGCTGTAACTTGCGATGCCCTGCTGATTTCTGCAACAGTGAATGAAATGACGCATTTCTAAAAGAGAATGGTGAGTAGAGAGATTTTCTGAGGTTACGGATACCTTTTTTAGGTTAGAGCGTGCCTCTTTGGATTCAAGCACTGCAGTAAAACTTGCATCAAAATGTATTGCACCTTTTATTTTGAATGAATGAGCTCCAGGCTTCACACTGAATGGCATGACAACACAGATTAGAGGTTCTCTGTTTTGCTGCTTTGGGAGAGAGGCTTCTTTATGCGCGCGCACACACTGATTGGGTTATTCTTGGCCATTCATGTAAATACATTCTTAAACTCATTGTAACTAATAAGGATGCTCATGCAATAAGGTTGCAACTCCATCTGTCACTAACCACACCAAGAACAACAGAATTTTTAATCATGTGATGATGCTCCGAGACAAACATATGTACCTTGCAGGAGTTCAAACAACGGCCAACGTCCTGTATACATACATAATAACAAACAGTACAAAAGAATATGATGTATGAAGAAATCAATAGACTGTGAGTCAGCTGTGTGTCAAGATGAGGGTGTTTAAGTGACTCAGTCTTCAATGTGTTTGCCAACCCTGAATGCATCTGCACTAACAAAAAGATATTTGACTGAGAGAGAGAGAGAGAAAGCAACAGAAAGCACCAAGATGCTGAGCACAACTCCCCTGGAGCTATGCGCCTATTGTATCTGACTTGTGCTCGCACGCATGCAGGTAGGTTTGATTTGACCATATTTTCCGCCACTATCATTTGAAATAGCTCCAGCTATACCATTTCAAATTCACAAAGCCCTTGTTATTCTGAAACAGGGATGACATGGAGTGTATAGCCTAATTTCTATTGATGATTAGAGCTGCAGTAACAAGAATCAGGTGCAGAGATGATATCTTAAACACGACAACATGCTCTGTGAACCTGATCTGCTACTCGACGCTGCCTGTCACTGCCTTCAATGCTTGGTATTCCAGGAAACACGGACTGCAAGACTCAGATTACTTTGACAAGAGAAGCAGACCGCAGAACACAAGACAGGGGAGGGGAGGCGTATATGCACAGTGCCGCCACTGGAATTTTGAATATGTGAGGGTAATAACTTGACCTCCTCCTCACTCTCCCCTCGATCCCTGATTAAAAACATGTTTTCACTACCTTCTTACAGAGCACAACTTTCTCAGATGTAGTACCATCATTTTGCACGAGCGGAGATGAACTTGTGGGGAATCCTGTTGTTACGCCTCTTATCGCCCTAAAACTTGACAGCCAGGATTAAACTACACTTGAAAGAACAGCTGGGAGAAGATGTTGAAAGAATACATATGGGCCAAACTTGCTGTACTTTCACAGCAAAATTTGCTTTTTTTATTTGACAGGAAAGGGTAAATTCAATTACCTTAAAAAGGATTAATTTAATTATGTGGGAATTATTTTCTTTTTTTGGGACAAAAACAGAACAGGATGTCTCCCGGTGAACAAAATATGCAGAGTTATGCAAGGTGCATGACTGTTGTAGACGCTGCTTGTTAGGCGTACGACGAGGGGGAGGGAGAACACTGAAGCGAACAGCAGTTATGTTCAATTCAGAAACACAAGCTGGCTAATTAGCATTGCCCTGCCATTCCCTTTGAACCAGACGAGGACAAGTGGGAGCCATCATATTTCTTTGTTCTAAGCGCTGTGTGATGCACCCCTGACCGCAGAAACCACAGTAGTTCTGACCACAAAGGGTCACAGGTAGGCAAAATAAGCTCACCTCCCCACGGGGAATTACCCAGACCTTTCCCTGAAACGACACCCTCAGCAAAGTACACTTACTCGCAGCATGCTGGATCAGATATAGTGCCTAGATGTAGTTTGATGACATTTTCAGGATGCAAACCTTCTCAGAGTACACCAGACAGATGTTAAGGGGATACAGGTACCTACTGCACTTCAGATGCACACAATTATTCTCGGCTGACTGCTCTCTGAAGACGTAGCACAGATCGTTAACTCTATCCTCTCGTGTACTGGGTTTTAATTAATAGTTTCATGCTATATAATGTATGATTGAAACATGAAAATGCATTTATGTACTCCTGCAGCGTTTGAAGAGTGTTTTATGGCCCATTTCAGGTTAGTTAGCGATACAGTCAATTACGCTACGACTCCAGATACAACCTTTTCGTACCACACACGGGCCAAATTATTTGAATTACCTGGCAAAGTTAGTCAAGTCATGAGGTCCTAGATGGGTGGGATTTGCCTTTACTGTAAGTCTGTGTTTAGGTAGTAAGTAATTATTCTCTGAGTATTTTTGTAGTCTCCAACATTCTCTGACTATTTGGCTTGGTGGTAAATATATAACAAACAGGACAAGAACAGGGTACAAAGGACAGTTAGGTCTGCAGAGAAGATCATTGGTGCCAACCTGCCCAAACTCCTACACATCCAGATTCAGGAAAATGAGCGGGTAAAATCAGACCTCACACCCTGGCCACAACCTGTTCCAACTTAACGCTCTGGTAGGTGCTACAGACCTCTGTGTGCCAGCCATACAACCATACACACAAGAGTGCAATTTCCAATGTGTGTCTTAATAATATACTTATATTGTTAAAATCAAGATGAGAGAATAGAAGAGATGATAGAAATGGTGATAGGCTCAAAGCAATAAGCTTAACGAACAGCGGTGAGCAGGTGCTTTGTGCACTTATTTTGCCCCATGTTTTCCCTTTCAGGTTAGATATATGTTCCCCTATCTTATCTGTGAAGGTTGTGGGGGCTGTATGCACTCAGAGAGAAAAACTGCAGGCACTGCTCCTGCAAAGGATCAAAAGAAATTTGTTTTAACTATTTATTTTTAATATTCTTGTACAACTGCGCATTAATCTTTAAAATTGATCACATCTTATAAAGTATCGTATTTCTATCAAGGAAACTAAACAACTGTTAATGTAGGGTTAGAGACATTTGACTTTGGTGTAGTTGCTGTTATACTACCATTATTCTGGAAATCATGATAACCTGTTTCAACATAATTATTTGTTATATTGATATAAACAAATACATGTATAAATGTATTTTTTGCTGAAGAACCTTTGACTTTATGACTTCACCACATTTCCATCTGCTGATATTCTCATGATCAGATGTGTGCTGTCAGGTAACAATCAAAGTAAATTAACCCTGTAATACCAACACATCTACTGTTCTAACATATACTGTATATGAAAGTGTAATATACAAGTTGTGCAATAACATATACATCCATTGTCAACCGCTTATCCTGCATACAGGGTCGCGGGGTGCTGGAGCCAATCCCAGATGACATTGGGCGAATGGCGGGGTACACCCTGGACAGGTTGCCAGTCCATCGCAGGGCCACACATAGACAAACAACCAATCACATCCACACCTAAGGACAATTTAGGGCACCAATCAACCTAAGCTGCATGTCTTTGGATGGTGGGAGGAAGCCGGAGCAGCCAGAGAGAACATGCAAACTCCACAAAGAAAGGCCAGGGCAACTGGGGTTTGGACCCATGACCTTCTTGCTGTGAGGCGACAGCGCTAACCACTGCACCACCACGCCACCCAATAACCAATACATATTATCCATTATTGTCAATCCACACATGCTGTGTATGCTGTCTATAAACCACCTACTGTATACATATAAAGATACTTGCTACATTAGCCATACAATATTTATCCAGCACGCTCCCACACACTCTTACACTATTTGTAACCCTGCAGACATCCTTTTGTTGTTTATATTCAGTATATGTATCTATTTATCATACCGACTTGTCTGTACATAATAGCAATATGTTAATTTTCTAATCTCTATTTAACTTTAGTTTTGTTTTGATGCACAGTTAATGTAGTGTGCATGGCACTGTGTGGAAGCACCTTGAGAGCTAAAGGAAACCTTTCTTGTCTGCCTAAACATACCTGGCCAATACAGCTGATTCTAACTTGACAAACTCCACCCATATGGCTGTTTAAACTGTGTAAAAACAAATGCTGCAAAAAAAAGAAAAGACATCTGCAAATTTGACCCAGTTCTGCTCTGCACCTGTAGTTTCACCGTCTTTTCTGCAGTAAATTCCCACTGGTGATCTACATAGTACTGCATCTTCAATCTGCTGATGCACCACTGCTAACACAACATTTTCAGCATAGCTGCCCCAGATAAAGGAGGAGTTGCAACTGCTCACAGTCAACATGCAGTGACTTGGAAAACACGACAAACTCACCAGATATCAAGCCCCGGTGTCCATTGCAGGTTTCAAATCAGCATCCCAATCAGCTGGCAGTCAAGAGAGTCAGAGCTGAGGTAGGCGACTCCCACTGGCGTCACAGCAAAACACCAACTAGAGGACAAGAAATGTGTTTAGCCTTCTTATTGTTGAATTAGGACATGTTACAGCTGAGGTAAGTTTGCTAACCATTCTAAATAACCCACCAGAAGTGTGGTGGGCTGTTTATCATCTACTTCTAGACAGTATTCTAGGGAAGGAGGCAACATTCCTCAACACACAAGAGAGGCAGTCATACATTCATAATCTCATTGACTGAGCTTGCTCCTTTTTCCACTTGGCAGCTTTGGGTGTGATATGAACGCAGATCTGATTATGAAACAACAGGAAAGAAGCATAAGCAGCAGGAGAGGCCCCAGAAAAACAGAGTTGAAGATACCATGACTATGAATGTGTGTCCTGTCATTAATATTTCACTGCATCATTGTTGCTAAAGGAGAACAAAGTGTAAAGGGGAGCATAATGAAAAATGTATCATATTTTGACACAGCTTTGGAATTTATCTGTGCAAAACAAAGAACAGGCGAGTCTTCCACTTGTGATGAGATTCTGTGACTGAGAAAATATGGTGATTAATGCGTCCAAATAATTGCTGCATGCTTTACCATAAGGTTATTGCCATTATATGCACATATCTGATGAAGATGGATGAGGATATGGTTTTGTAACTCACTTAAAAGAGGCTATTTTTACTACATACACTTTTGTTTAGTTTTTTTTTCCTCTTTTCTCAAACAGGGGAGAGATGATTGTCAAGGTCACAAGCTCCCAGTTTCTCACTTGTCCCTAAAATTCAAAAAACAAGCTATGTGACATGTCAGAGCTCTGCCTGCAGACAGCAGCACGCAACCCAAGAGAGATTACCATATCGCTCGCATTTGTCTGCAGAAAGCCTTCATGCATTAAAAACAGAATTCTCCACTCAGGTTCTTCTTCCAGCTGTACTGTACATCAATTTGTGTTCAGAGAGGGACTTAAGGCATGTCACCTTCAGCTATTCATCCAGCCAATGAAGTATTTATGACGCAAGTTTTTGCTTTTTGACACGTCATTCCAGTCCTTCTCAATTCATCTTGGTCTGGAGTCAGGGCTGTCATGTCAGAGTTTAAAAAATGAAAGAGAGAAACAAAGTAAGATTGTAGGTGTCTTGGGTTTCACAGTCTATCATGCCATGCATATTCACTGCTTCTCCCCTTCCGTATGGCGGCACTGCTGCAGCCCACTCTGACAGCCAATATGACAGTGAGAGGTGTGACTGCAATGTGACACTGAGAAACAACTGGCAGCTGCATAAAGTTGTAAATTTGTTTCAAACAAGAAGTCCTTCCCCCGTCCACAATGGTCTAACGACAGATTCTTCGCTTTTATCGTCGTTTTCAAGCATCAAATCATGACCTGGCCCAGTGTGATAAGTCCGGTGTCAGCCCAGGACAAGCCGGTCTCACTTAATCTCCAACATGGCTCTCCTTCACTGTATCAAACACTCCACATCCCTGCTCCATTTTCCTCTCGCAGTCTCACAAATGTACCTCTCTATTTCTCTTTCTTTTTTCTCTGCAAGCCCTTCTATGAAGTGAAAAGACAGAAAGAAACAAAAATCCTCAGTGCTAGGCAACTTTGGCCAAAGGACATACTCTGTCATGTCATTGTCCATCAGGGTGATTCCCTCCTATCTGCACAAGACAAAGACAGTTGTTAGGGAGACAGTCATCCTCCTGTGCTGCCAGCTTTGTTACTTAAAATACTCTGGTATAACAACAGGGGTAGCTGAGACCCTTTTTACCTCACCGCACTTATAGTCTGTCTGTCAATCCACACACTACTTGAGGCCAGTCAGGTTACAGAAATGATGAAAACTATTTCTTTTTCAATCTCTTTCATAAGAAAACAACCGTAACCTTGAATTTCACCTTCATATTCATGCTTGAAAAAATCCCAACATTAGCATTAATGTGGGCTTAAAAATAGACTGTAAATAGTCATAAATGTACCTGCAGTAAAAGCATCATCTGTCCATATACAACAATTAGCTTACTGAGAAAATAGCCGAGGCACAGGGATATTACTTATAGGAATGTGAAAGTGAGATATCTGGACCAAGCTTTCTATTATATTCTGATTTTCTTGGAGATTTAAAATGGAAAACTCTGCCTACAGCAAGTATCAGGAAAGGCAGATCACAGCTACACTGATTTATTTAAAGATTGGAATATAACAGAAATGTCATTTCATACTTTTTGTCTAAGCACTTAAGATTACAAATTACACATTTAAAAGACAATGTCAGAATTATCTTTCTTTTTTTTTTTGATTTTTTTCCTTCTTAGATATCAGCAAAAGAAACCTCTGCAAAAACCTTCAGGCATCTCATTACATGAGATCCTGCTGACCATCTAGGGAGAAAAAAACAAGCTCTGGAGCTTCAATCAATTATATATTTGAGTGAATGCATTCATATTGGAGATAGTCACCTTTCTTTGTGCTCCACACCCTAGAAATCGACAGAAGTGATGGCAATTCCTGAGCTTACCAGTCAGTAAGCAAGGACCCAAAGCATTTAATAGGCCACAGTATGCAAAATCAATTCAACCATAGCCATGTGAGGAGGTTTTTGTATATTTATTACAGACTTTAATTATTTGATTAATTGCCCGAGTTGAGCAAAGGTTTTTGTTTGAATGAAATATTTCAGCAAGTACTTCTTTTCCCTAACTGCAGCAATCACGGTGCTTATTTAAGGACATTCTCAAAGTCATCATGACTCAGCAGTGGACTGACAGAGCCACTTGTTCAGGAAACAGCGATGCTGTTCGGAGGTGTAGAGTAGCCTGATAGCTGTCATAACTGTGAGGTCAAACACTTCCTCAGCAGATCCAGGAAACTGAATGCCATCAAACCCTTACTCTTTTCCCCTGGCTTTAGAGTAATTTACTCTTCATGTCAGCACTTTGATTAATGACTTGATTTACACACAGGATCATATACGCTACATGGCCAGGTATCAATCATAGTACTGTATGTATTTCATAGATTAGATGCTGTGTTGCCACATTCAAAGCTTAATTTCATCTACATAATAGGGGTGCTTGAACAGCAATGCCCCGAAACTGTAAACATAATGAAAATATGTCACTAAATGTAGACCTAATGTGTTTAAATACATCATATATCCTGTTTATTATATAATAGGTCCTAAATTGTGAGAATAAAACACAAAAGTGAGGTGATAATTAAGGACAAGCAGCTTTTTTGTCTGAGCCATTTCCACTAATTTTAAACACATTCAGACACTGATGAACGCTCCCATCCCACTGGCCTGACTCGAATTGAGCTAAACTCTTTACTAGAAATGAAGCAAAAACTGTTTCACGGAAAATTGCTTGTAGGTGCTGTTTGATTGGATAATTAGCTTTTTATTAGCTTCTACAAACCTTTGGCATCAGAGGTCAGGAAAAGATAAATAGTGTGTGTGCGTGTGTGCGTCCCAGCCAATCAATACTCATGAATCCGGTGCTGCTAGAGGGCAAGGTTACACCAAAATATATTAAAAATGCAAGACTATAAAAGGCTTTACTTTAATCGCCACATTTAGCATTCATAAACTGTATATAAACACTTAATGCAATGTTTTTAATTTGCTATAATGTACATGTAAGCATATATTAAACACCACAGTGTAACACAGTTGTAATCATATTTAATGATATATGATTAAACACATGAACAAATTCTTACAGTTTGTTATAAAACATTTATTAACTGTTTATAAATACATATGTACAAATCATTCAAAAGCAGCTTTCAATTATCTATAAATGTCTTTAAAATTCATGAAGGCATGTCAAAGGTTCATTCTTGACGTACGAAATAGTAATTTGACAAAATTCTGGTTCACTTGCAAACTTTCAGTCGCATCTTGTGGCCTTCAGCGAATGGAGTTTGCTCAGTTGTCATGGAGAGTTAAGAAAGATTTATAGATAAATAAATACTTACTAAAATACAACATTTTATCCGATTACAGCTGTGTTACACTGTTTACAAAAAGTTAAAATAGTGTTACCAAAAAGAGAAAAGCAACAAATCATTGCGTTTGAGAAGCTTAACACGAAATGTTTGGCATCTTTGAATGAATAAGACTAAGAGTCTACAGCCATGCTAAAAGGCTCAGTGAGAGTGTAATTTGGCCCAGCAGTGATTTGAGCAGAATGCTAATCCCATGCTGATACTAAGCAGGTTTATATCTATCCTTAGAGCCATGGCACTAACATGGCTAAAATGACTTAAACAATTAATCAGCTATCTAATCTAATAATAATAATAATAGCTATTATTATAGTAATTTAATTGATTAATCTTTGTTGGCTCTAAGTGCAACACAGAGAAGTAATAAAAGAGCATGGCCATCCAAGATTTTAAAAAAGCCACAATACAGCCACATGAGATACAAAACTGTGATATTTAGGCCACATACAGTAAAGAGGTCTCTTAACTGTGTTGAAATGCTGTTGTTTTACACATGCTGGTCTGTGAAATGTCTCTGACATCATTTTGGCTCCAGTTAAATTGGAATACTTTGGGCGAGGATTGGACATGTTTTAGAGATAAGATCAGCCAAATCTTGTAAAGCCTTGTAGTGGGTCACAGCTTACTAAACATCAAACATCTTAATATGTTATTAATAAAAAAACAACTGGCAAGTGATGAATCATTTAATCTAAGATTGCAGTGAGTCACTATAGATAATAACATTATTATACTAAAAGAAGGCATCATCAAGGGTATAAATAATAATAATAATAATAATACTAATAATAATAATCTTTATTTGTAGAGCACTTTTCAAAAACAAGTTACAAAGTGCTTTAACAAGTGTAAAGACAATAATACCCAAAAGACAATAACACAAAAACAATACAAGATAAAAGCATGAAAACATTGAAAAGACTAAAATACACGTTTAAGATAAATATAAAATGAGTAAAATAGAATAAAATAAAAGGGACAAAATGCTCGAGCCTTGGGGCCCTGACAGCAAACGCTATGTCCCCTTTAGT